GGCAACAACTTAATAAGTGATTATATGTTGTGTTTACAGCTTGTTTCCACTGCCTCCAAGCGGCCAAAAACTAAGCTATTGTAAAGGTCTCGCCTGATGTAGATGCAGTTTACCTAAACACTGTGGTTCATTGATCCAAAATTTCCAGACTGTTTCATAGTCGACACAAAGGCACGCAGACGCAAACACATTGGGACGCATCGAGACGCATTGGCTGCCATGATGCGTGCTTGCGTCTCAAAATGTGTTGTCCATTTTTTTGATACGCGACGCAGCGACGCGTGTAATACCATGCGTTGACAGCGGGGGTGATAATGCAAGTGACGTACTTGAAATGAACCACTTTTTGTTATTCACAGAAGAAGCAGGTATGACATATGGCGGGCGAGGAGGAAAAACTTCGTGAACTCGTACGAGCACACCCCCATTTATGAAAGTTCTAGTGCCCTGCACATAAAATAGCAGTGCTAGCTACAGCAGTACTAGCTAGCTGGAATGTACCGGGGACTCTGCTACTCCCTATTGCGCAAGCGATGTATTGTATTTCAAGTGTCGCCCACGTCGCTTGCGTTCAATGTGTTGACTAGAGGCTAAAGTTTACTTGCTGCACGAAACGCGTGCGCATGCAGTTTTCGTGCAAGTTTGGCTGCCATGCGTATTTTGCGGTCGTTTGTCGCATAGACCGCACACTTTGCTGCGAGGTAGCGTGACACGTACGTGAGATGCAATATTGACATGAACACTAGAGGCACTCGTGCGAAGTATACCTAGAGACTGTGAACGTGAGGTTGGAGGTGGACTGGTGAAAAGGATATGATGGAATAACAGATGTAGGAGCAAGGTAGACCCAGAAGATGGCGGTAATGCAACATAACGGATGCCAACCGCCGTAAAACTCCAAAGAAGAAGAATTCCCTGTGCTTTTCCTCATCGATTGCTTGCTTGGGTAAAACAAGGGAAACAAACTCCCCATGTGATTGGTTAAGGGGCCGCACATACCATCTCTGATGGCGGCGGAGACGACACCTTTTCCTCTGCCAAGATCTTAACAGCAATAAAAGTATGATCTCTTCTTCATCGAGAGTGTCCATGTTTGTGTTTATCTGGAAATACACTGTCACCGCCTTCTTTGCTTCTCGCGACTTCTGTGTCTGAGTGCTACGGTCTGCCCCTAGTGGAGACCACCAGTATCAGGCGTTTTGGCTGCATCGATGAACGTCCGTGCTGCAGCAAGTATACACACACATGTGCAGCACACCGTGTATGCGTACGTTTGGCCACGCAGCAAGTATACTTCTTCACATCTTATATGATAT